GGGGGGGGGGGGTGTGTGTGCTTTGGAGCAGAAAAGGATTGCCAGTTTCACATGATTGTAAGATATTTTTATTATGAGCAAATAAAATATTGAATGGCTCTCCCCCAAAACAACATTCTGCTGATTATGCCACTTAAAGCATTTGCAATGTGTAGTTCCATCGATTATCATATTATTTAGTCAGGACTTTATCACACAGCAGCAAATGGAAAAAGTAGTGGTGTTATGAAAATCCTTGAACATAGAGAAGCATGCATTGCATAGTTCTGCTTCAGTGCTTTACGAAATTTTCTTTCCTTGTAACATCACAGATTAGAGAAAACTCCCCAGCAATCTCTCCTACCACCAGCAGTACAGCTCCGTTTGGCCTGAAGCCTCGATCAGGTAAATTAAAACCTCAGTGTTCTTAGAGTTGTAAACAACTCATTGGTTTCTCTTTAGCCTTCTAAATGTACACAGCCTTGTCAGTTCCGGTGAGTTTCAGTACTGGCGTCAAAACCTGGCTATAGCTTGGGAAGGCCAGATTTGGAGACGCTTTTAGTGATTCAGTTAAGTTTGTGTTATCAGTAATAGATATCTTACCTTGTTTTGAATCTGAGCAAAGAGGAAAAGGTGACAGGGCCTATAAATGGGGAAGAAATCTTCTATTGAGCTTTTTTACCCAGGGAAGATAAAATAGCCAGACCTTTGCCCCAGTGGTTCCTGGTACATGATAAGTTAAAAAGGCCTCCTGGAGGGTGATTCCTTTCTGAGACATACCTCATTGGCTTTCTGAGCCTTGGTGTGAGGTCTGTGTATTCACTTTCATAACAGAGTGACTGATCATTTAAAGGCTCACATGACTGGCCAGGAGTCTTTTTTCTCTTTTAAGAGCCTTTTTGCTTATATTACTTACTTTCTTTTAATTTCCTACTGGTATCTTCACAAATGTAAATTATAGCAATGTGCAGAATAATTGTTGATTTTAAAAAGAAGGACTATGTATAGAAAATTTTGGTTCTTCTGATTTCTCTACTTACTTAAAGTTCTGGCACTATCTTGCCTTCTTTTGGGCCCTTCTTTGTTTTCATATTTTTGATTCTTAGGTCTTTTGCATATACTCACTACTAATGCTTTTAACTAAGTGCTAGAAAATAACTCAGGCACTTTTAAGTAAAAGCTAGTAAAGAACTCAGATATTCTTGGATTTTTCAGTAAAGCGTTTTAGCAACAGTAGAAGTTAACACACATGTATATTTTGAAAAAGGGCACCCATAGAGGAAAACAAAGATAATTCTTTTATAAAGGAATTTATTTTTTATTTTTGGAGCAAGTTGGTTGATGGGTACCGTGTGACCAGGTGTAATGGTTTCCTAACATTTTGAAAGACAAAGCTGTAAGACAAAGCTATTTGAGAAAATGCTTGGCTGTGGCAAGGGTTGTTAGTAGGTGTTTTATAGAGAGGTGTTTGCTTCATTATGAAATAAGTTCAAATGGCTGGCTTCCTCATTTTGCTGAGTATAAGCAACCAGATCTGGGCTGGCCTCCATTTTTATGGTCTTAGGTGTGTGCTGAGAGGAACAGAGGTCTATCAGGGCACATGACATCCATGCCTTTAGTGATAACCTGTCAGGAGAGTTATCACTACACATTGAGGACCTCATATTAGGCTACAGACTTTCCCCTAATCCTTACAAAGCAGTTTTATACTATTTTAAAATAAATATTTTCTAATTGATCAAATCAAAAGTTGAGTAGATCTTTAAAAATTAATATTCTTTTGAATATTGCAATTTAGTTGTAAAATTGTCTCAGCGACTTTTTTATTTCCTTGTATGGAGTCAAAACTCAGCTTATCAACATTGTACTTGTACTGTTAAACCATATTAAATTCTTTGTAGTAGTGAAAATTAATAGGGTATTTATTTTGAATAGCAGAAAACAAAGACAATTTTCTTTCCAAGCTTCCAACCCTTCTACAATGCTGACTGACTAATGTGGAAATTGTTCTAGTTGTTGAAAGCTCTGTGGAGTTTGGTTGCTGTAAATAATGCTGATTTATCTTCAGAACATCAAGTGGATTTTAGAATTTTATAAAACTAACATTATGTATTGGGAATTTTTTTCGTTTAATAATTTTTAAATATTACAGTATGTATTTTTCACATTTTCTAGAAAATAATACATGTTATAATCTTAATTGAAGATGATATAATTTAAAAAGATAGAAATTCTTTTTGATTGAGTAGCTTTGGAACTTTTAAAAGCCAATTAATTTTTATCTTAAAGTTCAGTATGTGGATTTATGTGATTTCTGTGTTATAAATAAAAACAGACTGCTCAAATCAGCAAGTTGGAGTACGAACTTAGATTCTTAAAGTAGACTGATAGTTTACTTCAAAAGAACATTTTTTTCTCTCTTGTGTTTTCCTCCAAAGAAAGACACCTGTATATACCCAAAGATTTATTTCTAGAACCAGGTCTGTTTATTTTACTGGCCCTGCCTTATAATTGAATAACATTTTCTAGTTACAGCTCATATAGATATTTCCTAAACATACAATTACTATATGGATATTTAGTGCAGAAAAAGATGTTATCATTTCATAAATAACCAACTCAGAAGAGCTTGAAGCTGATTGACCTTTATTGGTTAATTAGGTTTGTTGTTAAAGAGAATCTGCTAGTGCCCAGAATTGAAGACAGCATTGAAATGTGTGTATGTCAAATGTTGAACAGAGTTGGCTTGATTCACCTATCAGTAAAGCATGCCAGTAGACTTCGGTGTCTTTAAAAAGAAATTTTACATCGCCTTGGGAAAAATTTCACAGTAGTAAACACTGATTCTATAATAGTTTTATTGTTTAATAATAGATATAGCTACACATATTAAGCATGTATTATGTAACCAAATTTTTTGTGTGAATCGTATTTGCTAAGATTGTTAGTTATTTTAGAAGGTCTTTGAAAAACTTAACTGGTAGGTCTTTTGCTTTTTATAATCTATGGGTGCTCTTTCTTTCTGCTGACATGACTCACTAGTACTTCTGGGCTTGTGGAACTGTTGAGATTAACGATATTAACTGCATGCGAAGTATATGATTGATAAGTACTAACACTCAGTTTTTATCATTCTTTTTATTCCATGCACCATCTTTCATTCTTTTCCCATATTGTACATTTGAAATTAAATTCCATAATATGAAATTCACTTCATTTCCATACAACCCTTATGCCATTTGTGAAATGCTGCTGCCCCTTTGGTTTTTCCTGGTCCTTGTGCAACTATACGTGGACTGGCTCTCTCACTCTCCTGCAGACCCAGCCCTCACTCTTCCTCCTATCTCCTTCAACAAACTTACACAGGCACAAACATGGGACAACTCTAGCTACAGTGTTCCATCTGAAGGAGACAGTGACAATGGTAGGTGGCTTTGTACCTTTTCTTCAATGTGCTTATTAATAAGCCAATTAATACACTGAGCATTCATTTCTGTGCAGCTGAAGATACAGCTCTATTCACTGGCATGCCTGATATAGGAGATAGTGAGTAAACCCAGAAAGGAAGTCCAGAAAAGTGCATGTGTATTGTTCAGCAGTTTTTCAAATGCCTTTTAATTATTTTGAATATTCTGTATTTGGAGAAAGCTTTATAATTCTGTATATTTTTTCTGCTTGAGTTTTTTGGCTTGTTTACAAGAATCTGGGATTTGCACATTTGCATTATGTCTGCTTGCTCCTGCATCTGAACTAAATGCTTTTAGAGTTTGATCTTTCATTATCAATGCTTACCGTATGTGATTTTTAAGGTAGCTACAATGTGCTGTGACTGATCCTAGAGTGGCATGCTGAAAATAATGTTAACATTGAGAAATTTCTAAAAATGAAGAGAAATCACTTGCCTCCCCCCCCCCTTTTTTGTGTGTTGTTTTTTTTTTCCAAATTACTTGCACATCTTGACTTTTAATACCTTCTACCTTTTTGAGTGTAAGTTCATCTATATAATATTCAAGAATAGTAACTTGGCCTGAGAATCAAATGTAAAAATGAAAATTGAAGACATCTAGTTGATATCTTTTCATGTCATTAAATATATTAAATAGCTTAAGAGATGAAACTAAATAAAATTATTTAGAGCTACATACCACATAACTGAGTCTCTATTAGTTCAGATTTCAGACATTTTACTTCAAGATACAGAGTGATAAAAGTAATGTTAAATGAAATGGAGAGTATGATTTACAGGGAAGAGAAGTGAGATGTGAGATATCACTACATTGCAAACACAATAGGAAGATATATTTCCCAATAATATTTTTTAAAATTGATTTTAGAGAGAGAGGAAGAAAGAGAGAGAAACATCAGTGTTTGCCTCCTGTATACCCCCCGACTGGGGAACAAACCCGCAACCTGGGAATGTGTCCTGACCAGGAATCGAACCCATGGTCTTTTGGTGTACGGGATGACGCTCCAACCAACTGAACCACACTGGCCAGGACAATAATACTTTTTAAAAATCTAAGTGTGTCATATATGTAATACACAGAAAATATATATTTAAAACATTTGCTGTAATTTCTGGTCAGAATTCAACCATAAATGCTTTTCCATTTTTCTTATGTGGAAGCATATGTATATCTCGGCAGGTTAGTTATAAAAGGAATTTTATTATTTCATACATTTCTAAATTTTTTAACTGAAAATAAGTATGATTGCACAACAGCAAAACAAAAAGTCCCACCTTATATTGTTCTGTTTTTAATTCTGGAAATTAAGGAGGACTAAATGGAAACTTTCTTGAAAACTGTTCCTTTACTTTAAAAAAGGGGGGACATTTTTGTTTTTCAGAAAACATGGCTATTGGTGGGTCTGATGTTGTTTAAAGGAGATAAAGCCTAGAACGAAAGATTTATGTGAGATTTGGTATTTCCTTAGGAGTAATAACTGAAAACGAAGGACTTTTTGTTGGTGTTGCCTTTAAGCTGGAAGAGGTCTAGACATCTTACGTGGCAGTAGAATATCTGTCATTACAGATGAGCCAACTAAAACCAGAAGGGTGAGGTGCCCCGGCCAGTCTCATTGCCAGGCAGAGATGGAGGTGGGGCCGTGCCCGGGGCTCCTGTCTGCCATATTTGCATTCATTTTACAGCTGTTTATTGAGGACTCCATGTTCAAATTACTAAGGCAGACTGCCTCCTTTTTCATTAACAATCCTAAGAATTCATAGAAAATAATCATGTGGAAATCTTTCTGAAAATAAAATAGCCATGCACTACTTACCTGGTATTTTTTGTATAAATGAAAATTTCAGGGACTCACATGTAAGTATTATGTTGTGCCACAGTAATTATAAAGGGATTGTTTTCAGTGTTTATGTGACTCGATCCATCAATCACGTCAGATAT